CAACACCAACCTTACTGCTTATTGGGTTGAAAATCCAATGCAATAACACAAACCACAGAGAACAATACTGGAGAAATCAAGAGGTTACAGTCCAGGTTAGTAGCAGAATATAGTCACTCAGTCAGGAACACCTTCTGAAATATGCTCCAAGTATCTCAGCCTTGAGCCTTGATGCTTTTGGCAAATGTTAAAAGTTCTCAGCCTGCCAACAATTATGGCTCTCCACACCCTACAGCATAAGAAAAACAAAGAGTCATCTATAAAGGTGAATGAAGTAGACTAAGTTCTGATTTCTCAGTAGAAACCATGCAGTCAAGAAGACAATGGGATAGCATATACACAGGTTTAAAGAAAGCAACTGTCAGCCAAGGTTCCTGTATCCAGCAAAACTTTCTATCAAATGTGAAGGAGAAATTAGTTCATTTGCAAAAAAGCAGGAACTTAAGGAATTGGTGAAAACAAGACCAACTCCACAAGAAATACTAAGAGAAGACCTTCACACAACTACAGCAAAGGAAAGTAGAGGGATCAAAGTAACCAACAACAGAGAAATGAATGCAACAAAATGGCAACAATAAAACCTGGTCTGTCAATAATCACACTTAATGTAAATAACTTAAGAGCACCAACTAAGAGACGAAGAATAGCAGAATGGATTAAAAAAAAACACCCCAAAGCCCATATTGCCTACAAGAGACACATCTAAGAAACAAGGAAGAAGATAACACTTTCCCATGGACGTCCCAGAGAACAAACAGTTCTTTTCCGGAGAAAGTGCAACTAGGATGCTCCTTAGAGGCAAAGATGGTGAAACTTTGTCTCATATACTTTGGGAATGTTAGAAGGGGGCTCTCCTTGGAAAACGACATTTTGCTTTGGAAGGCGAGGGTCAGCGTAACAAGAAAAGACCCTCAACAATATGGACTGATACAATGATAGTAAGAAAGGCTATATTAGAGATGATGAGGAAGGCACAGGACAGGACAGGGTTCAGACCCACTGTTCATAGGGTTGCTAGGAGTCCCTGTCAACTTGACCTCATATAACAGCAACATAGTTTTACTTTTGGCTAATTAATATATTTGATAACATCAAATAAACAAGCAATTTGTATCCTAAGTGCAG